GACGGAGAGCATGGCCCATTCAGTTCGCAAGCTAATCTCGCCCAACCTGAATGGCCTTCATCATTGGCCGTGGTGACAGAGGCGCGATTGAGGTACAGATGGCGACAAAGTGGCAGGATAGGATTGGTGGTATGGTGGCGACGCTTTCGAGGTGGATACCAGCAGGGACTTGCTGAAGTGCATCCTCGCGTACGAGCCAGAGGGAACGATCACACTGGTGCATCATCGGTAGAGCCGTCTGAAATGAGATCAAGACGTGCAGGTATCGAATCGAGATGGCCGGCTCTTCAGTCGTAGCGCTTTGGATGTGCTGTATGTGTGACTTGCAAGTGATGAAAAGTTTGAGAGGTGGGGGTTGAACAAGTCCCAGTCGTGAGTGAAGCTGTTCAAGTCTGATTTACTAGTCAAAGCGAGTACGGATTGCATGAGTTTCAATTGAGAGCACACGAAACTCCGCGCCCGCCAAGACTTCAGGTGAGACGCGCCTCCACATTGCATTCCAAGCGCGACGTCTTGACTCTTAACCATTACACCGCCATCCACTCGAGTCGGCAAGCGCGCGGGCTCGCAAGGACGACTGCGATCCATTTGCCATCTTCTCGTTGCCGCATCCAGCTCTCTCAGTGCAGGTGATCGCGCATCTTCGGCACACTCTCGGAACAGGATTTCAGAATTCCAGAGTAGCGCAATGATCTTTTGCAAAGGAGGCAGGACATATGCGACACCCGCCCTTGCTCGAAATGGCACAATAGTCAAGCAAGAAAAGGGAGGAAAAGGGTCGGATGACCGCGAGCCAATGACCCAGCAGGCAGACATTTCATAGCATGTGCAGATGCAGCAAGTAGCTTCGTTGCCGCTGCCAAGTCTGGCAGACCATAGCGAGAGACTTTGGTTGAGCCGCACACCAGTGCCAACGAAAGGACGCTCACTTTGACAGACGAATACAAGTTTGAATCGCTTCATTGTATAACGCACTTCGTCGACGGTTTTGTGTTTGGGCATCGTTCACAACCCGACACTGGCGATATTTGGAGACACGTAGGGCCCGGAGTGGGAGGGTCGAGATTGGGCCTGACACACGAGTGCGTGTGCTCGCAGCGCAAGGCACCTTTGGTCCACTTTGGCGACGGAAGCAACTCGCTCCACTGCGCCCCC